GAACTGGAATTGGAGCACTCTTTCTCCCAGAGCCAGGAAAGTCTCATAGTTGGGGCTATAAGGAGGAGATGAGGAAGGACAACGGTGAAAGAAAATCTGGGTATCCCCAGGATAGTGACTATTGAGAGAAGAGAGAATATGCCAAACACCAGGGAAAATCTTGGTATTTGCATAATAAATCCATCCTTGAGAAAAGACTGGGCCACTCTATGCAACTATTAATCAACAACTATACCCCTATTCTTAGAGTAGCTAGTTATTGGCTATTTTTTCCACTTGCACTTGAAGAAACCATCATAATTCATTCATGTTACTAGATTTTACCAACCAGAAAATAACCAGTGACATATCCTCTTGGGACCACGAAGGATGAGCTTCTATCATTGAACCATACCTCATTCAATTGCTATTTCTAAATCAGAGTCTCTCTTGGGTCCTGTTTAGTGGAAGGCACACATCAACTTTTCTCTTGGCAGCAGCCATAATAAATTCCATGAGATCTGACAGGCCACAGTAAGGTCAGTGAAGTCCCTGGGAATTCATGTGAGGGGTTTCCTTCTTGCTCCTTTTTTTTTTTTTTTTTTTTTCAATTGGTTGTGCCAGGATCTTTTAGTTGTAGCACGTGGGATCTAGTTCCCTGACTGGGAATTGAACTCAGGCCCCCTGCACTGGGAATGCAGAGTCTTAGCCACAGGATAAGGGAAGTCCCTCCTTCTTGCTCCCTGACTGACTTCCACAAGATCTCACAGGCAGGACAGACTCTGCTGAACTTTTTCAGAGCAGTGGAGTGGATGGGGGTGGGAGGGGTGGGGGAGTGGTATATCACCAGAACAGGATTTTAATTTCATTTTCAATGGAGAAACATTTCTTCTTTATCTCTAGAGATACATGTGAAAAAACTTTATTTTCCCACGGTCTGTTCCCTGACTCTGACCTCAACACAGAGCTGCCTTAAAAATCCTTTTTCTTTTTGAAGTGAAGTGTGTGTGTGACAGAGCACAGAGGATGTTGGGGGAAGCAGAGAAATGTGAGTTTGAATCAATTCACAGATAACGCAGAAACTGAGGGGCTTTCCCATGTCTTCACGTGACACCCTGCAAAGCTGCATGTTGTTGAATTCTTTCCCTGCTTTTCTTATCACAAACAGAGAAGCCTGACAAGGAACATAGGGTCACAAAGAGTCAAACACAACTGAAGCAACTTAGCACGCATGCATAGTTCATTAAATGCTAAAATCTTGCTTTCCCAAGGATGCTCTTTTATTTATTTATTTATTGTTTGCTGACTTAAATAATCTCTTTATTTTTATTTTTTTAAGGATGCTCTTTTAATATGTTATTTTAGTTAATCATTTATTAATGTGTATTATATACTAGGAGTTTATATGTATTATCTGATTGAATTCTCCCAATGGCTGTATGAGGTAGCCACAATTACTATTCCTATCTCCACAGGCAAGAGAGAAAGGCACAGGGAAGTTGAGTAACTTGCCTAAGATCACCCAGCCAGCAAATGGCATCAGCTGCACAAGTTTATGTACTGCAAACCACTGAATGATACACTTTAAATGGGTGAATTGCATGTTATGTGAATTATTTATCTCAGTGAAGCTGTTATAAATTTATATTAAAAAACTGCACCACTAGGGTTAGGAGATGTAAGCTATTATATACAGAATGGATAATAACAAGGTCCTACTGTATAGCACAAAGACCTATATTCAGTATCCTATGATAAATCATAATGGAAAATAATATTTTAAAAAAGAATGTACATGTGTGTATAAATGAATCAATTTTCTGTATAGCAGAAATTAATACAACATTGTAAATCAACTATACTTCAGTAAAAAAAAAAACTGCAACATGAGAAAAACCAATATTATGCATTTGGTAGGCTCTCAAGAAACAGCTCAGGAAATATGGTTTTTCCAATAGTCATGTATGGATGTGAGAGTTGGACTATAAAGAGAGCTGAGCGCTGAAGAATTGATGCTTTTGAACTGTGGTGTTGAAGAAGACTCTTGAGAGTCCCTTGGACTGCAAAGAGATCAAACCAGTCCATCCTAAAAGAAATCAGTCCTGAATATTCATTGGAAGGACTGACGCTGAAGCTGAAACTCCAATACTTTGGCCACCTGATGCAAAGAACTGACTCATCTGAAAAGACCTTGATGCTGGGAACAATTGAAGGCGGAAGAAGAAGGGGATGACAGAGGATGAGATGGTTGGATGGCATCACTGACTCAATGGACATGAGTTTGAGTAAACTCTGGGAGTTGGTGATGGGCAGGGAGACCTGGCGTGCTGCAGTCCCTGGGGTTATGAAGAGTCGGACATGACTGAGCGACTGAACTAACAAGAGGTTATCTATTGAATAAATGCACCAAAGCATTCTATTTTATAGCTATTTTAAAATAATACAGGTTTATTTAAATTCAAATATGTCTTTTAGGAATAGATAGTGTATTTTGCAACCATGCCTCAATTTCCCCAGCCTCAATTGTCCCCAGAAGTGAATGCTGATAATCCTGACATCCCAGGAATTCCGAGACAAAGGCCCCAGGAGTGAAAGCTTAGCATTGGCCCCACCTGTGGAGGAATTTCCCCTGTGCGCCAACAGGACCATGTGTGGTGAATGAACCATCTATGATTTGCTGACAATAGGTATGAACCTGAGTGTTAACTGATCTCCCAAAACCCCCAATGAGCCCAACCCAGACCCGCAGGAAGCTCCAGTGTGACTCTGAGACACCAGCTGATGAAGGCATCACTTGGGTCCTAGAATCTGGGAAGATGAATGATCACCCTTCCTTCATTACTAGAGAAACTCCCAAGAGCAGGTTCTGATAGTATTTGTGGTCACCATGGAGCTCAGATGAAAGTGAAAGTGAAGTCACTCAGTCGTGTCCAACTCTTTGCAACCCCCACGGACTGCAGCCCACCAGGCTCCTCCATCCATGGAATTTTCCAGGCAAGAGTACTGGAGTGGGTTGCCATTTCCTTCTCCAGGGGGTCTTCCTGACCCAGGGATTGAACCCAGGTCTCCTGCATTGCAGGCAGACGCTTTACCATCTGAGCCACCAGGGAAGCCCTGATGAAAGAATATGGAAAAAAATCAATAAATTCTAGAGTGAAAATGGAAACCAGTATTCAGGGTTGAAGGGGAGAGACATGGAGTAATAAATCAAAGGCCACACTTGAGATCCAGTTGAGGAATTAGCCTGATATGAAAGATTAAGGAGGAGTCAGAAAAAAAAAGCACCCAAATGCTGAGGGCACTGAAGAAGAAACAAAACAGAGTGTTATTAGATTTAACAGCAAAACAAATGAGGTCAAGCTTTGCATAAGGAGATTGAGTTCAGAACCTACCAATGACTAGACAATCCCTTCAAGGAATGGTTTTCAAGCCTGCCTCATCGGGGAAGAAAAAAACTTACCAGGGATACTTTAGAAAGCATGTATTTTACAACTCTTGAGTTCTATAACAACAAAAAAATGAGTCTTAGATTAGGGAAATTTGTTCTGAGGACTCCGTATGAAATAGAAGTGAGAATATGGTACAAAACTGGAACAGACTTTTATCTGAGGCATGGAGGTTCAAAGATGTGCTGAGCTCCTGGCTACACATCTCCAGGACTCACTGGTATTATTTTGAAGAGAATTCAATCCGGTCTACAAGAAAGCATTCTTGTGCAAAACAAATCACAACCATGAAAGATGCATGGTGCACTCCCCGTATGAAGGCTAGAAGTTTTTGTATATGTTATTTCATTCTATTTCTAAAACAACTCTGTGACACAGATGTTTTACAGATGAGAAAGAAACCAGAGACCAAAGAAATCTAACAACTCTCCCAACTAGTAAGTGGCAGGAGCAGGATTCAATTCTAGGTCTTCAAACTTCTTTACCACTAGTTTTTCCAGTATCCTACACCTTTCTAAAGTAAGACTGTGATGAATTTGTCCAGCTATGGAAGGCCTTTTAGAATAAAAGACTGACATTTTGACAGAGGTGAAAGATCATTGTAAAACTAAAGCAGACTAGACTGAGAATATAACCAGAGTAACAGCAGGGCACTGGGCTTTGGAACATCAGCAAGTCAGAGGACCCAAGGACAAGGACTAAGTATAAAACACTAGTCAAAGTAAAAACAGCAACATCTACCATTATATCTAGTCCCCTCAAACTGCAGCATCTGATTTATTTTGTTGTCTGTACTTGATGAAGCATGTATAAGAAGGTTAAAAACTGGAGAATTTTAGAATGGAACTTTTCTTAACATTACCCAGAATGTCTTATTCAAACTATAAGTGATAAAATATGCTCCCAGAGTGACCAACATTGCCAAAATCGAGAAGAAAAATAATTGTAATCGCTTTCCATGTCTCTTACACAATTCACAGAGATGAGATCACAGAAGAAATTGTGGTCAATTTTGCCACTTATCTTTCATGATACTTCTCAACCATAGATCTTCTTTTTGGGTTTGTGGGGCAAACTTTCTAATTTTTTCTTCCCCTATCAGGAGTAACAAACCCATCTGGCTAAGCTCCCTTCATTCCTCAAAGACATAAGGTAATAAAAGGTGAAACATCCCTGCACCCGGAAGTCCCAAGGAAAAGGATTCTGTTGTTCTTGGAAACTTTTCTGAATCTGTCACCCATCACGGCCACTACAAAGACAGACTCAGGCTGCACATATTTCAGGGAGAAATGCTGGGTCTGAATCTATTCATGGTATTGAGGCCTATCAGTTACCAGGTGGAAAGAAGACCGGACAGAGAGCCAGGGCCCTGTGTTCTAATCCACCCACTGCCATTAAGCAGGTAGGTAATCCTCACCAAGGGCTTTCCTCTCTGCCGGCTACAGGGCTCTCGTTCATAAAATGAAGGGCTCACAGTAGACTGTCCCTGAAAACCTCTCCAGTTGTAGGACATTTTGCATTTCCCCCAGCCCCTCATCACTTGATAACCTGTTCTGGCAATGTCCTAGCAGGTACCTGTTTCTTGGTCACGGTGCCATCCACAGGGTCCACGTATTCAAAGCTGTCTGTCTTCGCCACAGTGTACACATGGCTCCCCACAGCAAACTGCTGGCCGATGAAGGACTTATCTGTGACCAGGGCCTCCAGGTCCCTCATGATGTAATAGGTCGTCTTGGGCTCTAATCCCTCATAGTCAAACCTGGTGAGGGGGGACAGGACATAGGCTAAAGACAAATCTAATCAGAGAAACAGCAACCCGACGGGCCTCTCAAGGTTGTCTAATCACTGGTTTTGTTTCCGTGGAAGAACAGCACAGAAAAGAACCCACAGCTGGTCAACCCCTTCCCCCGGTCCCTCGCTCATTCCCCACACAGCAGCAGCAGCATCCTGTAAACATTAAATCATGGCCATCCATTCCTTTGAATTCCTCCAAAAGTGCCCATCATCTTGAGATTAAGATTTGAAACACTGACCAGTCTATAAAGTACTGTGGGATATGACATGCCCACCTCCTCGACTTGGCTGTGTCTCACTCTGGCCCTTATTCACTATGCTCCAGCCATACAGGCCTCCTCTCCAGTCCTCAAAGATGCTCCACCCTCTGGGCCTTTGCTCTTGCTGTTTCCTCTCCCTGGTACAGTCTTCTCCAGGCTATTACAATAGCTGATGCATTTCCTTCCTTCAGATTTCAGATTTACTGTCACCTCCAGAAACACTTTCTCTGACAAGACATCTAAGGCATCTCCCCTCTATCTCTCCCTGTCACTCATCATCCTTTACATCTTCTTTTGGTAGTTATCCCAATATGTATTTGCTTTGTTTATATATTAATTTACTTATTTCTTGTCTTTGCCTATGAGAGCTGTAAGCTCCAGGAGGGCAGAGATCTACTCTGTGTTGTTCTCTGTTGCTTCTGATAAGTAGGGGTTTTTGTAAGCACTGGAATGAATATGGGAGGAGGTGAAGGCAGAAAGGGAAAAAAGAGAGGAACCAAGGCAGGGAAGAGAGATGGGGAAGGGAACTCAATGTACCATAAAATTCTCTTGGAAACTTGGAAGAAGTATTACAATTGTTCCATTAAAAAAAAAAAAAAAAAAAAAAGGTCCTCCTAGCCAAGAACATCACATATAACAATGGGGCTGGGAGGTGATTAGAGGGGGGAAAAAAGACTAAAAATAACACCTATCTCATTTGTTGTTCTGGGTTTAATTGGATAATACATACCAGGTAGTTGGCACAATGACAGACACTGGTGCTTAAAGCTCTTACTTTTATTCTTAGTCACTGTCATAAAGAAACTATAGGGTCTTTCCCAGTGTCAGATGGGTTTGACCAAGTCCTAATGGCATACCCAGGGAGGTCTGTTTAAGAAGGAAACCCTAGGAGGGGCAGCTGTGCTCAAGTGGTGGGATCTCAAATTTGGGCTCTCTTTAACACAGGAAAGATGAGAGTGAGCTAAAGAGGGAAGATCTGAATAGTTGAAAGTTTTTCTCCACACAAGATCTTTTGAGACTTCAGTAAACATCAGGTTACTGACCAACATGTCTAACAATGGGTCCCCTGCACCTACATCCCTTTCTTCTATTCTCTCCCTCGTACAGAAGATGTGTCCTCCCAGCCTCAGAAACAAAACAACAGGGAACTCTCTCAGAACATTCTTTCTCAGCATGTGTTCTAAGCCTAGATTCTCTTTATCAGTACATTGTTGGGAAGGTAAAGACCCAACAAGCAGAAAAGGGTATGAGGATGGGATAAGAGGGTCTAGTAGGAGATAGAGAGGCTCTGAAAGAGTCTTAGAAGTTGAGAAAATACACGAATGTGACAGGTCACGTTCAGCCATGGTTGAGATCATCAGACCAGCTGCCCCAACACTCATCTTCATACATGAGTAAGTTCTACCACAACTTCCCCTCACTCCCCCAAACAAGCACCTCTGACCATCACCACTACCAACACACGTTTAAGGAAAGAAATTTTAAAATGCAGAATTCTTTCTGGGGTCCACTCATACTGGAAAAATCATCTGGGTTCTCAGATACAACTTCAGGCTCAGTATCAGTTAAACCAAATTTGATTGTCTCCTGCCCACTAAGAAAACAAGCTATCAATAGTTCTCCTTCACAAGCATTGCAACCTACCTTTCCCAGAGGCAGGAGGAAATGTTTGCTTTCATTTTACCTACTCCCTCCTCCCTTTTTCTTTATCTCTGTGATCTCTTTGGACAGAAACCTGAATCATAATTGAATGCCCTACAAGAATTTATATCTCCACTGCATTATATTCTCTAATATGGTATTTGTTATGAAAAAAGTAACTATCATGTAAGCTCTTGGCCACAAAAAAATGAACTGTATTATAAACACACTTATCATAACACCATGTCTTCAAAATGCTGGCAGAAAGCTAGATAATCATTCCACAAATTATGAGGAATACATCCCTGACTCAAAGCGCTTTCACTAAACCAGAGGTTGGCAATCAAAATATATTTTATCAGGTTGGATTTTATGGCACAGCTTCAGACAATAAAAGGGTTTTCTGTGCCAGCTGGCCCCTCTGGTATGCCAAAAAAGCCCACAAGAATCAGGATTTTGGGCAGCTGTTAGAAATACTAGAGAATACAACAAGTTCCTACCTGCCTTTACAGTTCTTATTTTATAATACAATGAATAATTCGAGATGATTTGCAGGCTGTCACACCCTTAGCCTTCTTAACTAGATAGGAACCAAGAATGTGAGGCTGTCTCCATTTCTCAGAGCGCTGCAGCCTCTTTAATTTTAATGAGTAATATCGCAAGCCTCCTTATTCTCTGATGTTTATCTAAGTAAATGACCTCTTAAGAGAAGAAACAATCACCTTATAAGGGAAGTCTAAAGCTTGCTTTCTGTCCCTTAAGCTCTTGAAATGCAACCAAACATCCAAGTAGTTAACTATTTATAAGCAAAGCAAATGAGGCACAGTGTCTGTTTTTAATACACTGAGAGCTGCTGAGACTACCCAAAGATTATCTGTCCTAATTCCACACCCTCACAGTTAACATCTTTTAAGACCACTGCTCCTCCTAAACCGTGGTTTGGTACTATTTATAAACAAACAGCATCTCCAGGTACACATATCTAGCTGGCAGCCACAAGCCAGAAGACTCTCCCCCTCGCTTCCTTCGACAACAGGAAGGTAGTTGAGACTCCCAACCCACTAATAGTCACTGTGTGGACCTTTAGTGGGGAGGTAAGACAAAGAAAGGTAGGGGGAGGATTACAAAAACCACCCCGACCTGTGGCAGCTCCTGTCTCTTCCCCCATTTCCTTGATAAGTATAGGTGGAAAACCAACAAGAAAAACCCCTGGTCTGACTGGACAACTTTAATGGCCGCCAGAGGACCTTTCAAGGTTCTGCAGTTCAAATTTCATCTCAGGATGGCTGCCTACTGTACAGGCACTGATGAAAACATTACAGATGGCTGTCACCAGAGGTAGGGAAAGTTGTATCCTCTAATTTGGAACTACCTTGATACCACCCCCAACCTCCTCTCAGGGGTTATCTGGCTCCAGCCTCTGTATTCCTCAGATCTTCCTGAAAGATGCTTCCTTCAGAAGATTCTAGACCATTAAAAAAAAAAAAAAAACTTTTCTAAGGAATTTCCTAAGGTCCATATGGAGACTCTTGGCCTTCTCACCTGCAATAGTAGTGGCGGCCAAATTTGGCCCAGTGATCTCGGACAATTTCCTCCACACTCTGCTTCCGGGCAGCAATAATGGAGAGCCAGACCAAGACAGCCCAGAGGCCATCTTTCTCCCGGAGGTGATCAGAGCCTATGGGAGAAAGAAATATTATTCTGAAGATTTGCTCATGGGGGAAAAGTTAAAGCTAAATGAACTATTAAGACAATTAGAACTTAAGTGTTATACTGAAATGATAGCATATATATTGATATTTGTCTATTGTGTTAAATATATATCCCATAATATACTTGTATTTCCAAAAATATGCAAGTGAAATTCAAATAACATAAATAATATCAAAAAAGAAAATCCTGGAAATTGTTGAAAGGATCAGAGAGCCAAGCTGATGTCACATTTGACTAGTGGTATTGTTCATTCAGCAAATATTTGGTGAGCCTTACTTACACTACCATGAATAAGACAGCTCTTTATTCATAAAGCTGTAGTTCAAGTAGGCAAGGATAAGCAACAGAGTAGACAAAAGAACAAGATGAATCAAACAAGCACAAGGACGGTGAAAAAAATTAAACTGGGTGATGCTGCCACAGAGCATGACATCAGCAAAGGTTGCTTTATTAGAGCAGCACGGCTTTCCTAGAGCAGGTTGAATGGCACCCTGTGTTCCCCCCGCCAAAGATACACCACCGCTCCCCCTGTCCCACCACAAACCTGTGAAGGAAAGCTTGTTTGGGAAAACAGTCCTGTCGATATAATTAAGGATGCTGAGATGAGATCAGCCTGGATTATCCAGGTAGGCCCTAAATGCAATGACAAGTGTTCTTAGAAGAAAAGACAGGGAAGAAATACAAAGTAGCAGTTTATATGAAGACTGAGGCAGAGAGTGGAGTGGAGTTCACTTCAGTTCAGTTCAGTCGCTCAGTCATGTCCAACTCTTTGCAACCCCATGGACTGCAGCATGCCAGGCCTCCCTGTCCATATCAACTCCCGGAGTTTACTCAAACTCGTGTCCATTGAGTCGGTGATGCCATCCAACCATCTCATCCTCTGTCGTCCCCTTCTCCTCCCGCCTTTAATCTTTCCCAGCATCAGGGTGTTTTCCAAGGAATCAGTTCTTCACATCAGGTGGCTAAAGTATTAGAGTTTCAGTTTTAGCATCAGTCCTTCCAATGAATATTTAGGACTGATTTCCTTTAGGATGGACTGGTTGGATCTCCTTGCAGTCCAAGGGACTCTCAAAAGCCTTCTCCAACACCACAGTTCAAAAGCATCGATTCTTTGACACTCAGCTTTCTTTATAGTCCAACTCTCTCATCCATACATGACTACTGGAAAAACCACAGCCTTGACTAGATGGAACTTTGTTGTCCAAGTAACATCTCTGCTTTTTAATATGCTGTCTAGGTTGGTCATAGTTTTTCTTCCAAGGAGCAAGAGTCTTTTAATTTCATGGCTGCAGTCACCATCTGCAGTGATTTTGGAGCCCCCCAAAATAAAGTCTCTCACTGTTTTCACTGTTCCCCCATCTATTTACCATAAAGTGATGCGACCGGATGCCATGATCTTAGTTTTCTTAATGTGAAGTTTTAAGTTTTACCACCTTTTTCACTGAGAGTGGACTTATGCTGCTACAAACCAAGGAATGGATGGGGCCACTAGAAACTGTAAGATTTTCCCCTCAGGGCTTCAGAGGAAGCATGGCTCTGCCAAAGCCTTGATTTGAGACTCTTGGCCTCCACAATGATAAGAAAATAAATTCCTGTTGTTCTAAGCCACCCAGTTTTGGGTAAATTTTTGTGCCTTAGGAAACAAATACAGGGAGTCAGGGTTAGCCCCACAGGGGTGATGACATCTGATCGGATACCTGAGAAGAGTCAGCCCTGCAGAGATCTCGGGACAAAGTCTTCCAAGCTGAGGGACAGCAGTGAAGTTCTGAGGCAGGAAGGAACTGGGAAGCTTATTCCTACAGCTATTTACAAAGAGAGGTAGCTTGTATTGAAGCATTCACACAATGAAGCATGCAAGCTAAACAGGTAGCTTCTTGTGCAAAAAGAACCCAGAGGAATGTGCTGCAGGCTCATTTAAGTATCTGTCTATTGGCCAATTGTAAGCTCTTCCTGAAGCGAATAAAGTCCTAAACACAAAGGAATGTGTTGCAGTGTAAGAAAGATGGTTCAGTGGGAAAGGCATGAGGAGGGTTTTGGAATCAGGGTTTAAAATCAAACTTTGCTACTTCTCAGGTGTGTGAAAAGTTACTGCAAGTCATCAACCTGAGTCTCGGCTTCTCATTTGCAAAATGGGGACACCATGACCCATCTTGAGGGGTTGTCATATAAATTTAATCAAGTTCAGAGGGAAGGCTCTGGAGTCAGATTGTTTGAAGTTCAAATTCTGGCTCAGCCACTGACCTTTGTGTGACTTGCTGGCCTCATCTGTAGCACAGGGAAGGAACAGCCCTTAACCCATGGGTTACTATCAAGAGGAAGTGACTAGATTATGCCTAGGTATTAAGGTGAATGACTGGGTTACCACAAGTGGTGGCGGTGGTTATTATTGTTGTTCTTCTTGGTAATTCACATAAAGCACCAACATGGTGTTGATTCAATACACACTTTGAGACAGATTGTTCTCAATTATTCACATACTTTTTATCCTCCGACTTTAGCAAATGGCAATGTCTTAAGAAAGAACTATGGACCAAGGTTCATAACACTATATAGGAGGTGGTAACCAAAACCATCCCCAAGAAAAAGAAATGCAAGAAGGCAAAGTGGTTGTCTGAGGAGATCTTACAAATAGCTGAGAAAAGAAGAGAAGTGAAAGGTAAAAGAGAAAGGGAAAGATATTCCCAACTGAATACAGAGTTCCAGAGAATAGCAAGGAAAGATAAGAAAGCCTTTTTAAGTGAACAATGCAAAGAAATAGAGGGAAACAATAGAATGGGAAAGACAAGAGATCTCTTTAAGAAAACTGGAGATACCAAGGGACCATTTTACGCAATGACAGGCACAATAAAGGATAAAAACAGCAAGGACCTAACAGAAGCGGAAGATATTAAGAAGAGGTAGCAAGAATACACAGAAGAACTGTACAAAAAAGCTTTTAATGACCTAGATAACCACAATGGTGTGGTCACTCACCTAGAGCCAGACATTCTGGAGTGTGAAGTCAAGTGGGCCTTAGGAAGCATCACTACAAAGCTAGTGGAGATAATGGAATTCCATGTGAGCTATTTCTAATCCCAAAAGATAATTCTGTTAAAGTGCTACACTCATTATGCCAGCAAATTTGAAAACTCAGCAGTGGCCACAAGACTGGAAAAGATCAGTTTTCACTTCAGTCCCAAAGAAAGACAATGCCAAAGAATGTTCAAATTACTGTACAAACACACTCATTTCACATGCTAGCAAGATTATATTCAAAATCCTTTGAGCTAGGCTTCAGTAGTATGTGGATCAAGAATTTCCATATGTACAAGGTCAATTTAGAAAAGGCAGAGGTACCAGAGATCAAATTGTCAACATAAACTGGAACATAGAAAAAGCAAGGAGTTAAAAAAAAAAACACCTACTTTTGCTTCACTGACTATTCTAAAGCCTTTGACTTGTGTGGATCACAACAAACTGTGGAGAAAATTCTTAAAGAGATGGGAATACCAGAGCACATTATCTGCCTCCTGAGAAACCTGTATGCAGGACAAGAAGCAACAGTCAGAACTGGACAGGGAACAACAGACTGGTTCAAAACTGGGAAAGGAGTATGGCAAGGCTGTATATTGTCACCCTGCTTATTTAACTTCTATGCAGAATATGTCATGTGAAATGCTGTATGGACGACTCACCAGGCTGGAATCAAGATTACCAGGAGAAATAACAACAACTTCAGATATGCTGCTGATACCACTCTAATGGCAGAAAGTGAAGAGAAACTAAAGATCCTCTTGATGAAGGTGAAAGAGGAGAGTGAAAAAGCTGGCTTAAAACTCAACATTCAAGAAACAAAGGTCATGACATCCATTCTTATCACTTTATGGCAAATAGATGGGGAAAAAGTGGAAACGGTGGCAGATTTCATGTTCTTGGGCTTCAAAATCACTACGGACAGTGACTACAGCCATGAAATAAAAAGATACTTGCTCCTTGGAAGAAAAGCTATGGCAAACCTGCTGCTACTGCTAAGTCACTTCAGTCGTGTCCGACTCTGTGCGACCCCATCCCTGGGATTCTCCAGGCAAGAATACTGGAGTGGGTTGCCATTTCCTCCTCCAATGCATAAAAGTGAAAAGTGAAAGTGAAGTTGCTCAGCCATGTCCGACTCTTTGTGACCCCATGGACTGCAGCCTACCAGGCTCCTCCATCCATGGGATTTTCCAGGCAGGAGTACTGGAGTGGGGTGCCACTGCCTTCTCCTAGACAGTGTATTAAAATGCAGAGACATCACTTTGCCTACAAAGGTCAATATAGTTAAAGCTGTGATTTTTCCCATAGTCATGTATGGATGTGTGAGAGCTGGACCATAAAGAAGGCTGAGATCTGGATTATAAGGAAGACTGAGTGCTGAAGAACTGATGTTTTCAAACTGTGGTACTAGAGAAGATGCTCGGGAGTCCCTTGGACATCACGGAGATTAAACTAGTCAATCATAAAGGAAATCAACCCTGAATATTCATGGAAGGACTGATGCTAAAGCTGAAGCTCCAATACTTTGGCCACCTGATACGAAGGGCCAACACATTGGAAAAGACCCTGATGCTGGGAAAGATTGTGGGAAAGAGGAGAAAGGGGCAATAGAAGATGAGATGGCTGAATGGCATCACTGACTCAATGGACATGAATTTGAGCAAACTCAGGAAGATAGTGAAGGACAGGAAGCCTGGAGTGCTGCAGTTTATGGGGTTGCAAAGAGTGGGACACAACTTAGCGACTGAACGACAATAAGAAAGGAGACTGGGACCATGGGGTGGATCATTTCTTTCTTCAAGAGTAATGAGAATGGGTACTTGGATTTCAGAGTTATGAAACATAACTCAGAGAGGAAGACCCAATGACACTGAGCTGTTTAAACTTTGAAAATAGGCTAAAGTAATACCTTAGTTAAGCTAGACATCTTTGAGAACTTCTCACCAAAGCTAT